TTTGATATATATTTTTTCCAATCTTAATTTAATTCTGGTATTAACTAACATCCAATCGAGGAGAAGACAATGTTTCTGGGATTTAATTATGTTTCACAAATTTCCTTTGTTCGATTATTTGAACTTTATAGTTTATCTAGGACTTATAGAGTTCTTATTTTGCAATTTAAAATTGATTTGTATTCAATCTAGTATGTTACGAATCTCGAGATTTAGGGCCAGAGGACTTAAAATGATCAATATGTTTAATGATACAAAAACTATATATATGAGAAGTAAGTTTTTTTTTACACGTCTTTAGTTAAATAGCATCTTTAATTTTTATAAAGTTTTGATCGCCTGAAGACAATGTTAGCCACACGTCGTTAACAGGTAGTTATTCGTTAATAGGAAATGAAATCTTTAATAAAGAATAATAGTATAATTTATTTATGCATAATGTATTTTCCAAATAGCAAATTAGTGTTGATGGAGGATTCCATTGATGTCTTTAATTTTCCGTTTCAATTGTTAATTTTTTAATACGCTCTCGTCTTCCCGCAGTGTCCACGTGATGGTACAGATGTTATTTTACACCGATGAACGTCAAGTAATACAATATGTATAGTATCGAACTGTCAAGATTCCGCGTATCGTATTCTCAGATGATTTTACAAATGAATCGTAACATCCAAAGGAAACACACAGTTAGTGGACACTACAATTTCATTTGATTATTTCAGTTGGCTGATACACGTTTAACACGATGAGTGCCGCGTGTACCTTTGGTACATGGTGAACCTCATTTCTATGCCAAGCATGGGCGTAGCCACGGGTGGCAGTGCCTCCCCCCCTGATGGAAAAAGGTGGCCTTTGGTCCACCCTACAAAAAAAAATTGGATTTTGCCCAACCCCCTCCCTCCGCAGGTTACAAAATTTTTGCATAATATTTAATATTGCAGTATAATTTGAAGCATGACCAACAGCCTCTATTAATAAAACGCATATGTTTTCAACGATTTATGACTTTAAAAAGAAAATAAAGTGTGTCTGGCTACCTACAGCCTTTTTCACTGTCGCAGTCCATGTGTTAATATCCCCCCCCCCCCCACCGACTGATAACCTGGCTACGCCCATGATGCTAAGTGATGTTTTCATAACTGATAGATAAATTACAAGGAAGCAATTGTTGGTATCACTATTACATCGTGTAAAATGATGTCTGTTGTAGTTCTTAAGCCGTTTACCAAAAATGGTATATATTACAGTTTTCTTTAGATGTGCAATGCAATTCCTTTTAGTTGCGCGCAGTTACTTTGACTGCTTATGGACTTTTCAAAGAACACATTATTGTCAGCTCTGCAACAATTCAGGCATATAAGTTTTCATTGAATTGTGGCAAAGCATAAAAATATGCTTTTTTAAAAACTTCACTTGAATTTATCGTAAAAGAAGTATAGAAGAAAAGGTAACTAATTGAAATATGATATATACTTTCTATACGTTTCTTGATGGATTTTGCTTTATGCGATTTTAACCTTTCTTTATTCTTGTACATTTTCAAAATTCATAAAATTATTTTTTTGTTACACAGTACACTTTATGGCTTCAATCTTTATTGCAATAATGAATAAAGTTCCAACTCACAAAAAGCTAAAAAATATATCATTTTTACATATTTTTCAAACTCGAACGTGTTTAACTCAACTTCAACGTGTTTAAGGTACTAAATACTGTCACTACAGACTTCCCGATTATTGTCCCGAACTCGGGTCTGCGTCGGGACAATAATCTTGTAGGGATAAATGCTTCAGACCCTTGTGATTTCGTTTTTTGTCGGAAGCCGAGCCCTGGTAAGTGTAATCATAAAAAGTAATGACTAAATAGACTGCGATTTTATGCATTTATAGCGTATGGAGCTTTGTGAAATACAATAAAAGAAAATACTATCATCAGATGCAACGTCGTTTCTATTTTATTCTTAATCCAATAAGATATTTAAGAGAAGAACGAAATGTTTATTTATGCTCTTGTCTTTATGAATGACTTCACAAAATGTTATTTTGTATAAAAATCCGCAGTCTAGTCTATATAACTAACAGAAATCTTCGATATGTATTTATAAAATTTTCATTATAACCTCGGATTAAAAAGTTGTAAAAAACAATCTGTACTATTTTCTTCGCAATTCCGACCAATTTCAACTTTTTCAATTTCTTTTTCACATCATTTAGTAAACTAATGTCCCTAACCTCACAAAAGAACTCAAGTCATTTGGACCAATTTTAAAAAAGTTGTTCCGTTGTAAAAGGTGTACGAATACTTTTGTCCGGTACTGTAGTCGTATAAATTAAGCCTCTATCGACGAAGCACTTTGTCAAGTATTTTAGAAGTGTTTTGCTAGTTAAGTAAAAAAAAGTAAAAGCAGCAGTATCTAAAGGTGTCGTTCTGAGCTTTAAACAGTCAATAAGATTAAATAATTATTCGACAAATGTCAATTCATTTATGAAGAAGTATCATTTATTATAAAAATTGACATTACCACGTTTAATCAATTAAAAATGACGAAATACTTTTTTTGATCTTTTATTCGTTATTCGAAACTTTTTATCTCGATAATAAGTTTGCCCGTCTCTGCCGTAAACGCATCTTTTCCGGAAAATCATTCGTCATGACAGCGTCTTTGCACGTAAATTTTTACCAGAAACAGAAAACTGCTAAGAAATATTCGATTTAATTACCCAGATAGCACATGACGCCTTAAAGACGTCCATTTTACGGCTATTTTAGGTCTAAGGTGTCTTTAAGCCGTCTTCAAGGCGTCGTTAGACGTCGTGTGCTATCTGGGTATTGAAATTATATTTTTTCTTTCTAATTCTTACTCAGTTCTTCCTTCTTTTCAAGGGGAATGTCACGACTGAATCACAATGATTTTTACGAGACACGGACGTCTGGCATATAGAGTGGAGAGATTAATCAGCGCATGCTGACATACCGCATAATATAGGTTAATTGTATTAATCGGTGGTTCAATTCAAAGGAAGATCAAAGCGTCTGGTCAAGTGGAGCAATTCAATTACGTGCCGATTCAGTGTGTCGCAAGGTCGACCGTCGGATTCTATTGTTCGCTGAAATGACCTCCCGTGCGTTGATTTCGTAATAAGAACTTTAACCCGTTGTATTCGTACAAGGTGACGATCGATAGATATATGTACGATAAATCCAATTTTATACGTCAGGAAGAGAGTATAATTATTGTAGACTTAGTATGTATTTTCTTTGGTGGCTTTTAACGAACTTACAACTTTACGGCTTCCATAAACAAACTTAAACGATATGAACGAAAATTTGGAAACTTTGGATTGGGAACAAATAGTTCTTGTTAAAAGTTTGAAGTTACATCTTTTCATTGGATACTCTTTAGTTGCTAGTAATTTTCCTGATGAACATTTTTTGAATACAGTAATGTCTCGATGAGTGCGACATAAATTTGTTTTTTACCCGAAGCCGAGCCTCTGCTTATCTTCTGTTTACTCTGCTTTGTTACGTACGAAGACACTCTCGTGACCTCTTAACCCTATCGGGAGTTGGAATTCATCCGGCCAGATTACGTAATTGCCTACGGGGTGTTATGGCGTGGTCAGATTTTCTTGGAAAACAGTTTCCGTTGAGAAACAGGCGTGTCCCCCATTACTATTAGACTCGATTTTCGGGGTATAAAAATGAACGCGTACAGCTCATCCGCGGGTCATACTAATACCAGAAGTCTAGTTAGTGAGATCCGGTATTAAAGACCCTTTCAAGCCTTTTAAAAATAAGCTAAACTCTGTACAACCAGCCTCCGCATTTCTCAGTGCGTGAAAACTGAGAACGTTGGAATTAGCTTCCGCGACCACAACTTACATTAACATTTGTAAAACCTTTACTTTCTTGAATATACTTTTATACATTTATATATTTATAAATCAGTGTTGTTCATTTTCAACTCTAGAATAATATCTAAATTCCCAGCTAGAAGCGAACCCACAAAGGCACACTTTAATCACTTGTTTACAGAATGCGTAAATGTAAAAAATAAATAGAACATTTGAAATGAATTGTGTAAGCTGCGAATATTATGCATTTATAGTCCATGTTGATAAGCAAAATATAATTAGTTAAGAACATCTAATGTGGTTAATCCATTTTTTATCTAACGATTTATATAATGAAACTATGGTTAATAAAATGATATTTTTGTATTTATTTTTATTTTCACTAATTTGCCTACAAAAATGGAAACTTGCATAAAAATCTGTAGTTTAATAATGTACATGTATTCTTGATCATGCAAGACTGATAATAAAGAACTCGTAAATTACATTTATTATCACACAATCATTATCACAATTTTGTGACTATGTATTAATTGGTATGTAACATGAGATTATTAACAAGATGGAATTCGGACGTAACATAATCCCAGATAGCACATGACGTCTTAAAGACGGCTTAAAGGCGTTTTAGACCTAAAATAGCCGTAAAATAGACGTCTTCAAGGCGTCATGCGCTATCTGGGATTGAGTTCTGCAGTAATGTCAGTTTTTATATCGCATACATATGCAGTCATTGAAATGTGGAAGAGATTGGAGTTTGTAATCAATGTAACTAATCCTTCTTTGACTAATTAGCGTTATTTACTGTTGATAAGGTAATCAGTGCCAGCGATAAGAAGTAAAGAAGAAATTGAAATTCTGCAACAAAAGATAGTGGCATTGAAAAATGAAAAGACATTCACAAGTATCAGGACATTTGGTTTGAATTAAATAAGTATTATTACTTTATATTAGCACGTGTTGTCCATTAATCTAAAATGTCTCTTATAACAATATTTATTTCGAATTTTTAACAATTTCGTAATGCCGGATTTATTTCATATACGATGAGTGTCGTAATGTAATACTTATAAACGGGAGTATACAGTCTTATAACTGAAATTCTGAGACCAGTATTGTAGATTAGACGAAATGTTTTTGTTACAGGTAAAATAGGACTTTTCTACTTGTTATTCTACGGAGTGTTGGCTGGCATGGTTGCAATCTGCTTCTGGGGATTCTTCCAAACGTTGGACCCGAGGATACCGAGGTGGCAGTTGGAACGTTCCATAATTGGGACAAATCCTGGTAAATATCTCTTAAAGAAACTGGTCATTTGAAAACAAAGTAATACCTCGAGTAACGTTGATTTTCATCAATACGGGTTGTATTAGAACATGGTTTACAATTTTTAAACAAATCTGAACATGAGACGTAGCTGCAATCACATCATTGCCTTATTTAAATGATTAGTCATTATGACGTAATTAAAGATTCGTATGAGGTATATTAGGTATAATATAGGGGAAAGGTCTCTAAAACGATCCGTCGGGGTAAAATAATTCCTGGCTGCCCATATCGTAATGTCGTTCTACAATAGTTCTCCCTGCACGTCACTAGTCGTTGCTCGAAGTGCCATGTGAATATCAGTGCTCTGTGTGTTGTCCACAATATAAATTTTAAATTACTGCAATTTATCTAAGATAAGGTCTTTTTCAATGTTGTGTAACTTTTGTCATAAACGGTTTAATGGGACAGCTACTTCTTGCGCGGATTTAATTACTATTCAATAATAAGGTAATTAATGTTTCGTTACCGCATGTAATAAGTTGATGTTATATTCAACCACTGAACGTCAGTTGGCTGTTTGGGGTCATATGATCCCTCCCTAGTAGGATAAAATGATCCCAGGAATCATTTTACCCATATGCTATATTATTGTTTTTTTCTTTTAGTTACAACAATGCCCCGTCAGTATGAAAGAAAAACAACGCGTCAAAGCAGTTTTTATTTAAATAAAATGTAATAAACGAAATGCTTCTTAATGTTCGTCATATTTACTATCAGCAGGTATAAAATGATCCTTAAGTATACCTTCAAAGAAATGCGAATAAAAAATATAATTGATCAGGTAGCTAAATTTTATTTAAGCCAATGATAAGATAGATAGACTAACTTACAAAAACTACTTTACTTTTATTTAAATAATGAGCATTTGTATTTTTTATATAAATTACGCCTTAAAGGGATCATTTTAGACACCTTTCCTTTACAATAAATCTTCGATGAATGTCCGAAGGCTCCTCGGCACTGAACGTTAAATATTCTATAAACTAATGACCATATGCGGCAGAAACAAATATCATTGCCTTCAGAATTCCAAGCTCTATTACTGTGCTAAACCCCATTAAAAAGTCAGCGTTACACTTGGGGATCTCTCCTTGTCAATGCCGATGAGCCTTCGAACACTCATCGAGGGTTTATTGTAATAATCTATTGGGGTGTCCCAAAATAGTTTCGACTCCCTGAAATGAGGGGTTCCTGAGATGATTTGAAACAACTTTTTCCTTCGCGAAAATGTTGTCCGAGACTTTGTCGAAGAAGTAGTAATATCTCGTTAACAAAGCCTCGGATAACATTTTCGTTAGGGAAAAGATGTTTCAAATCATCCCAGGAACCCCTCATTGCCGTTAGTCGAAGCTATTTTGGGTCACCCTGTATACGTAATAATTAGACTGCGGATTTTATGCATTTATAACATAAAGGAGTATGTGAAATGCAATAGAAGATAGAACTTGCATCAAGTTTAATATATTTCTCATTTTTTTCTTAACGCAATAAACTCCGTAGGAGGCAAATGAAGCCTTTCTTTTTAATTCTGCCTTTGTAAATTACTGTACAAAATGTTATTTTGCATAAAGATCGGCAGTCTAGTAATAATAGAGCCGTCTCGAAATTCAGTGAGCTGTACATACAAGGTGTTATGCTATTACTAAATATTACCTTTCACAGGTTTGGGATTCAGACCTAGGCCACCAATGGAGAACGTGGAAAGCACGTTGATATGGTACCAAGGAACAGACAGCGAGAAGTATAAATACTGGGTTGATTCGCTGCAAACTTTTCTTAAAGGTAACGATCGAAAATGATTTAAAATGAAATTGCATCATGTTTTACGTAGTTAAGGGAATACATTCTCAGTTATATCAATCGTCAGAAGTTTTTTATCTGTTTCATGGAGTAAAAATAAATTTTGAGAACACTTTTTTCACCAGATTTGAAGATCTGTACCATTATTTGATGAAAAGCCTCTTAAACGCATACGGCCCGAATTTCAACTCAACAGCTTTATTTTTTCTCGATAAATGAGTGTTTATCCTTTTACGTTCGATCCAATGTGCTTACAGATCATATAAAGAAATTGTTTCTTATACTTAGTCATTTTTAGGGTTTGGGACATTTTGACTTTTAAGCAATTGTAACCTCATATTGTGTTATGTTTTTCATAAACCTTTCAAAAAACGCCGGTGTTTTATGTTAGACCTTCTTCGGTTCAAAAGAATAGCCTGACAATATTAGTTACACATTAACAGTTTGTAATAGTTTTTTTATGTAGGAAAATTATTATTCTATATCGTCTGGGCCCGCTCGGAATCATCTAACAAAGGAACGTTTTGTACTGTTACACTGGAAAATAAAAAATTTTGTGTGCGTTTTGTAGTCTCCCTATCCCCTATTAAAGAGAAAATGCATCTACGGATAATAAAATAAATAAATAAACTTGTATATAATTCTTAAAAAAAACTTATTATTAACATTGTGGGATATCCAACGGTAAATCTATGTTTTCACAACTTAAAATTTGTAGGATTCATGTAAGACGAAATTAAAAACTAAATTCTTGGTTTATCGTTTGTCCTACATCTTCGGTAAAGTTCATTCGAGCTGAATTTTATCAATTGCTCAATACAGGAAGTCTGGAATCTCAGTATTTAACGTGATAAGTGAAAAGTTTGTTCAATTTTTATCTGAAAAAAGTTATGGTGATAATAATAATAACAATTTTATAGAAATAATAATGTATTTCATTAATATGTTTGTTTTATTTAAATATCATTTTAACCTGCAGAAAAGGCTAGATTAATAGGAAGAATAATGAACATAAAACTGTGTCTGTCATCTCTTCTACTGCATAAGTGATCATATTACAATCGATAATAATTTTTCAGAGTACATTACGCCAGGCTCGGTTCCTGGTGTTGGTGCAAACATTAATAAGTGCGACTACAATCAATCCCCACCCCCTGGTAAAGTTTGCGATGTCGACTTTAAGAACTGGCATCCTTGTACTAAAGAGAACAATTACAATTATCACAAATCTGCCCCATGCATTTTCCTCAAGCTCAACAAGGTATCTTTTATTTTTTTATTTTTGTTTCATTCTGTCTGTATAGATATTTCCGCCGAAAATAAACGGGAGAATATTTAATGTATCTATATAGGGTGTATTGTAAATCGTAATACAATCGAAGAGGAGCTGATTTTTGACGTAAAAAAAATCGAAAATATAGAATGAAAGTTTTTCACCTAAGGCTTTATTTTTGAGAAAATTGTGTTTGAAAATAATACGTTAACGTGTCTGACCATTAATTAAAATTTCTACTTGTAATGGTTGACAATGATATGATATCATTTATTTCACATTTATTTCGTTCTGTTATGTGATAAATATTAGCTTATACGCCGGAAATCAATAAAATAGTAAAAAAAAGTAAGTATGTAAATGGAAAAACAAATTATAGTGATTCCTCGATGAATGCGACAAGAGCAACGGCGTTATTCCCACCACTGGGGAGGAGTCTCCCTCTGGAATTAATTAAAACAGAGTAAATAATTAATAAATAAACAAATTATGAGGAGTTGAGTGAAAGCCTTTCTGTCTTGCCATGAATGCTTCGCAACAGACCTGAGTACGTCGCACTCATCGAGACATTACTGTACCAAAATTTCATTGAATAACTCGTATATTCAATAAATTTTCAAAAACAAGCCTCTCGAAAATGGAACCTCGTATGAAAGATTTTCATTCTGCCGTTTCGACTTACTTTTGCATTAAAGAATCATTTTCATTTCGGTTGTTCCACGATATTCGATGTATCCTAGACATTTAATGCTATAATACTTTTTGGAAATTTGTCGTGTCAAGAAAAAGACATAATGTGTACATTAATTTTTGTATTTTTTTTTTAGATATACGGCTGGAAACCAGAATTCTACAATGATACAGAGTCGTTGCCAGAGAAAATGCCTGTCGATCTCAAGGAACACATTACCACTTTAAAGGCAAACAGTTCTTTGCAACTTAATACAATTTGGGTATCTTGCGAGGGCGAGAATCCTGCGGATCAGGAGAATATAGGACCAATTCATTATATACCTCGAAGAGGTTTTCCTGGTTATTTCTACCCGTTTGAGAATTCCGACGGATACCTTAGCCCCTTGGTGGCTGTTCATTTTGTTCGTCCTCGCAGTAAGTGTCAGAGATATACATATACCGATTATTACCTTGATAACCAGGTGTGTACAAGTTTCGAGCCAATTGCCAACAATAAATGACAAAAGTTGTCTAAAAAACCATAGCCATCTGTTTCCGCATTTGACTTGGGTCTTGCAGGCAATGCCAGCTGACAAAATGGTCAAGCAAATTGGCAGAAAGTCTTGCAACATAACCTATGTTACATTGAGGGCAACACCGGAACAAGGTTTGTGCAAGCGAATTTGCTGCATATGTTGCTGTCAATTCGCTGCCTATGTTGCTGGCAATGTGTGCGCAAGTTGTTTATAGCAAATCTTGTATTAAACTTGTAGTAAAAAGAATTAATTAAGACATCATGATCCCCACATCAACTTCTATAGTTGGAGTCACTTCTTAAAATCAAGTACTTTTCCAATTATATTCTTTAGAAACATTCTACACTAGTGCATGTTCTAACAATTTTATCTGAGATATTAAAAAGGCTCAAGCTAGAAAGACAGAAATGTAAGTTGGTACCCGATACAGCTCTGACATCACAGAATTACATAAAAACCACCCTAAATTTTCTTAAAGTCACCAACTTATATTAGAATATGTGTAACTACATCAAATAAACGTCATTAATGACCAAGCAGAACACAATAATTATTCCTAACAGTGACAAGTAAGTTAAGTGTTGATAGAAGATTACGTTGCTTAATCGTGAAAAAATATTTTGTTACAGCTGGAATTTTAATAAACGTAGAGTGCAAGGCGTGGGCGAAAAATATAAAACACAGTCGCAACGACAAAATAGGCGCAGTCCATTTCGAGCTGATGATAGATTAACAGCGCTGCGTACCTTTCCAGGCCTCTCCCTTGTTAGCGTACAGAAGCTAAACGTGAATCTCATATTTTCTGACTCTTCGACATACCTGGAGGCTTTTCAATCAAGTTACGAAGCCGTCAGAAATTCATGACCGCTGCCAAAGCCGATGAAATTGTTAATCAAGTACAAAACTGAAATGGTTCTTTTGTGTTTGTATCGGCGGAATTCATTCCATAAAAGTTTCCCGTGGACCGAGGACAATGTCAAATTTCACACTAGTTTTATGCAGTGTTCAGACTTTTATTCGATTACAATGGGCAAATAAATTGTATGTGAAAACTTTTACCATCAATGTAATCTTTAATTGATCTGATGTAATAAAAGAACTATGTGGTCTTAATATGACACGTGTATCAATAGTATGATTATTGTATATTAATATGAACGTATGCAGTTGATAACATGTCTAATGATAAATATAATGAAATTGTGTGTGGTGATGACATTTTGAAGATAAATTTTGTAATTGAAAATAGGTATACTATGTAGTTCGGTCTAATTGAAGATACCAAACGATTTCTGTATAACGTTTCATCTACATAATCAAATTATTTTTCAATGACTCGAAAATATTAAAATTTTTACATAGAATGTATTAATGTTAGCGAAAGATACAGCTAATATTAAGTATTGATTCTCATAAAAGATCTGATTATAATATTTAAGAAAGTAAGTTCTTATATTCTTCATTTTAACTATAATTTAAATATTTAAATATTCCTCGTGAAAGCTGAACGTAATGGAATTAAAAAAACCGTTTGAATTAGTTGAACTAGATGTTACTGTATTTTGAATGCCCATTGCGAATAGATCTCTTAAACGTGACAAAGGTAATATATATATTTTGCTTCTGGTGTATCTAAGTGTATCGTATGCGTACACATGTATTTTTATAGATAAGATTTTCGTCTTTGGAATCACAAATTCTTGTCATCTACTTATACTACCGTCAATTGTAAAATATTAAATATCCTTAAAATATTCTTGGAAAGGTTTATCTTTTATATTTATTGTTGCGATCGACTATTATTTAATGAATTATTTTTAGACATGTATTGTAATGGCGAAACTCAACCTTACTGTCGTAAAATTACAAATAATGTACATGAATTGTCGTTTTCCGTTGTTACGATTAGCATTATTTATAAACATTACTTATAAAAAAAAAGTAAAATACTCTTGCAGTAAACAATTACAAGTGTGTACGTGGGTACTAACAATATCTCAGGATATCATATCAAAAATTATTGTTCAATAAAGAAAACTGACTGCCTCAAAATATATCCCAAGGTTGTTATTATTCTTCCTAATATTTTGGATAATCTGATTGCAGTAAAATATTTCGAATATAAGCTAGTGAATCTTAAAAATGTTTCGTTTCTGTTATTTACAAAATTACTATATTTATTTATAAGATTATATTAAAAAATATTAAATTACTAATAATTTTGTATATGTATTATAATATGTATTTTATTCTTCTACACGTTGTGTGTAACGAACTTTCACTGCGACGCTGTGGCTGAAATGTACGAAAATCCTGCGGTATTCAACGTGTTAAATAAGTAAAGATGATCAAAATTTTGTCGTGTTTGGTCTAATTTCAATCATAAAAATCTGACCAATGTGTTAATAAATATTTCATTAACGAAGAACCAAAAACAAAAAAGTTTCATCGCTGCATTCGTGTTGTTTCACCGATGCGCAGGCATTTAATCGTTTTTATGAAGGTTCCCAACGTCCAGCCGTCGGCTCATGAAACGAAAGCCGCTGGCGAGTTACATTACTGTAAATGTATTTCACAGTTTCAACCATGGAGGGGGTGCGGATGTTTCCATAAGTGACTTTGAAACAAAAATAACTTTGAATATTTCGTAAAGATATGGTTATTTTTACAAAGGATTAGTTAGTAAGACTTTGAAATTTGTAATAACATTGGAATTGATGACAGTTCGAATATTTCAAGTACCTGTAAAGATAAATAGAATATCAACTTTAAAAAATCTCAAAATTCTAACTCGACGTATTTTATCGGTATTATTGAGCGTGACATTGCAATGGTATGGCTAGATCCCAAATATGTATGCATGTATGTACACACATTTCAAGCTAACTTTTTGTATCCTGTATATACTATGTAGCGTGGAACCAAAACGGGTAGATTTCTATTAATCATTTTGTGCAAAATTGTCGGCCTTGCTGTTCGGCATAGTGGGGACACACCTTAATAGGCAAATGTGCAATGTAGAGTGTATGCATGAATTAAGGAAGTTTGTCGTCATTGAATGTGCGATAATTGACGTGACATTTTTTATAATGATACATACAACTATATTTAGGGTTTGTTAACTTCGAAAAATATTTTTTGTTTATTCAACAAAATACATCGTTATTACTATCAACATATAGTACCACAATTTGCTACGGGAAACGTCATAAACGATATAAGTACATACATTTAATAAGTACCTACACCGATGTATATGTATTTCTTAAAATTACTGGCATCTGTGTTAACGCTGTAACGCTGAGATCCTTGGTATCCTTTTTTTTCATTACGATTTTATCCGTAATGGTTTTCCTTTGTTGAGATCTACCGTTTACAATACATATGCATATTCTCGAAAAGTAAACTATGTATTCCACCTATTTCACAAAAGCACCAAATTTTGTCCAAAAATATTGACTTCAACAATCAGTTCTTACGAGAATAAGATTGTAATAACACTTATTAAATTTACGAATGAATTATATATAAACATGAACATAATATCTATGCGACTACTTTATAATATAATTTTCCTGTTATTTTTTGCACTTTCTACTACAATTTGACAAATTGACGATGCTCCGATTAAAGATATGCTGGCCGTATTTATAATATACATTAAAAAATAATTTACTCTTTCTGAAGCTATGAGATACGATAATTCTTAAAACAATTCGACGGTTTGGTAATTAATCTATCAATTGACACGTATACGTTGAAACTATAACTAACGGAGATACCAAATTAGATACGTTAAAATAGTATCATCTTTTTCTTTTACTTATCCAGAGTACATAAAATGCAACTTACTTATTGTTAGTTGCAGTACATACTTGGTTTATATACATAGTACGATATAAATAAGCAATATTATAACGACAATGAGGTAATGTTTTTTTAAATGTATTTCTTACACTATTTATCTTCTGTACTTTACTTGTATAAATTTTATTTAGATTACTGTTTCATTCGATTTAACACTAACCGTACCGACCGCCGGTCAAATGATTGGTTTTAAATACGGTACAAATAGGTATATAAAAGTCTCGGTACGGTTAGTCTTAACGTTTTGATCTCGGTAAATCTGAATTCTCACTGGTCATCTCTTCTATTTGAAGCATATAAATGATTCTCATTCATCATTTATACTTTGTTCATGTAGGAGCATTGGAAAAAATTAGGGTCCAAGCGTCCCTCATTTTTTTCAACGCTCCTACGTACACTTCTGAATGATAATAATACTTTTAAAATTGTTCAAAATGTTTGTGTGTGTGTCATAAGTACAGAATGGTGTATTCCTTCTTTTCTGAACGAAAACAAATTCTAGTTATTGTACTAATGACGTTAGACAGGCTGTTTTAAAGTGAAGCGATCAAATCCTGTCAGTACGTTCTACGAGTAAAAATGAGAAAGAAAAATGTTATATAAATTTAGGTTCGGAAATTGTTTGTTAAAAATTACTAGTGGAAAAAATTACGTAGGGGAAGGGCCTTCTACCATTTGATGTCGGGAACTATTGAAACGTATGCCAAATTAACATTTAGTTTAACATTTATTTCAGTGCTTAAAATAAATTTATCAAATGGTAAAAGGCCCCACAACACTTTTTCTCCTAGCGGAAGCTGAGTTTGCACGTGTCAGTGTACAATTTTTTTCTTCATGTTTCTCTTTATAAAATGTAGTGACAACGTTTGATCGTCTGACTTCGAAATACACTGTATAATAATATATGTATTGCGTGTTTGGTGTCTGTAATGTGTACAAGTGCTAATGATCAGTAATACCAATTATTAATCAGTAGACTGCGGATTTTTATGTAAAATGGTATTTTCTAAAGCAATTCATACAGAGAACAGCAAATGTAGGAATATGTTTCTTTTTTTATATGTCATATCAGGTTCAGAATAAACTAGAAAACTGATTGGATCTGATGAAAGGTTTGTTTTTTACTATATTTTAAAGACCTATATAGACTATAAATGCATAAAATCCGCAGTCTATTAATCAGTACAGTTTACAGCAATGGTCACGAACATACAATAAACATAATCCAAGCTGAGGTATGGATTCAATGTGCCGAGTGACGGAAATTGCCGATAGCTACTTACACGCCTATCATAACCATCATAATACTAGCAGCTACTAGTATGTATCTTAACTTCTCCGAAAGCGCCAACTGGCGTTCAGGATTCGAATTTCTTTAGTTCCATTCCTATGAAGATTATCATACTTTTGAAACTTGATTGATTTCCATAGTTTTTACAGTGTTAGAACGTGTTTCATGGCAGGTATTCGCACGATTCGATAGATTGCATTGCGTTGGAATTTTCTTTTAGGAAAACGGTTATGGTCATTCGTCAATCATAAGCTGGAAACGAATCAATCCTGTTAGATAGTCCTTAGTAGTGCCATATTTTATGTTCTTGGCCCATGCCCGACATTCGACGTTGATTATTCTGTTCCCTGAAACGTAATGAAAAGATCCTCGTTAGGTTGTTCATAGACAAATGGTGACATTGAAGTATCAAATTGAAATATAGAAATGCAGGGCCGTTCCTGGCGGGGGTGCACAAGGTGGCCCCGCACCTGGGCGGCCGCAGATCGTTTGTTGTAAGTAAAACTTGGATAGTAAGAATAATAATCATAAGTTTTCTAATGATTATGCAACTTTTAAACCAACAGAATTTAATCAAATTAATTGTATATGTAATCTTTGTAATAGTATTCGTATACAAGAAGGAACTATCTTTATGGACAGCCCAAAATAGCACCCAGATAGCACATATCACCTAATGACGCCTTGAAGACGGATTAAAAGCGCCTTAGACCTAAAATAGCCGTAAAATGGACGTCTTCAAGGCGTCATGTGCTATCTGGAAAGGGTTAAATTGTCGAAACAAAAAATGTTATAAAAAACTGCGCTCTAATTTGTAAAATCATAATCGACTTACTTGCTGGCCGCAGGAAATGTACAGCGACTACGGGGCTTAAGTAACCAGGAATGTTTTTGTATGGATAATAATATTTCGGAAATCCCTGACTCTTCGGGTAATAGTTTATTTCCCCGATGACCTCTTTGTCATGAGGATTTTCACCTGTGCATAATACCCACACGGTATTCAGCTGCAATGAAAGGAAACGTATATCCAATTAATTAAGAATAACGAAGGAATATAAATAAAATTGTTTTTGTATGAATTATCATAAACATTTTTCTATAATATATATAGGTATAGTATGTATACCATTTCAAAATTAATAATATATGTATGTTTAATTAGCTAATAAAACAAATAAATGTAAGATACAATTGTAATAAATATGGGAACATAAGTTAAAATTGCTGGAATTATTCAGCTTTTAGTTCGTTTCTTGCAAGTTTTTAGAATAATTATGCACTGATTTATTATTTGTAAAATGATAACTTTACAGTCCTGCATTTCCTGAAACTTTCTTAACGAGTTTTATCAATCAGCAGAAGTTGCACTTATAGATGACAAGTAGCTGTGATAAGAGAGCACAACTTTTAAGTTGTTTTTTGGTGATTTAATATACCGATTAACGCAATTAACTGACCGACTAACTAACCCATGAACTGTTGACGGATTTGATGTGTTCCACGAGGCTCGCTGGCATTTCGCTCGGCAAATTGGCAGTGTCATTATAACAGTCCGGTTCCCAACCGTATATCTGCAAAGTAAATAACACTAACTCATTCATACTTCAGTTAAAGGAATACTTTTATCTGGTGTAATTACACAAATAAGTATACCCATTAGAAACAGTATCAATGAGTTTCATAAAAATGATATTATTAGACTGCGGATTTTATGCATTTATAGACTCTACATAGAGATCTGTGAAATACAGTAAAAGACAAAACTTTCGTCGAATGCAACGACATTTCTATTTTATTCTTAACTCAATAATATACTTAAGAGGAGATAGAAATACGTACTTTTGTTCTTGTCTTCAAGAATTGTTTTATAAAATTTTATTTTGCATAACAATCCACAGTCTAGATATTACTATAGATTTGAGTATATAATATATAGTATACAGGGTGTAATAAAAATGTTGGAGGACCCGGATTAAAATCACTGAGGGTGACCTTTATATTTCGATAGAAAAGCAAAGTAACAACAAATTGATTACGGTACTACAAGTATACTCTCTTGGAAACCATGCGACTTTTGTTTGAAACATTTTTCTGTACAACAAATAATTTGCGAGTGATTTGAAGTCGACATGTTACGAGACTCACGCTGTATACAAAATAACAAGTTTATATAAATAACAAAACGAAGTTGGTATATTTCAGCGTATTTCTTTTTAACAATAAATACTTTGCACAAACAGCATTGTTACCAGCTGGATTGTTTTTTGTTTTAGATTCAGGTTATTGTGTTAGTTATGAAAATTCATGAGAGTTAGTTATAGAGGAAGTTAATTATAAGAATCTAAAATATACCCTGTTTAATTTAATGAAAACACAAGGGGCTGAATTGTTGAAGCCGTATTGTTGACTTGGCGAACATGGTCCCCAATTGTTCACGTCGACTGCGCAAACATGTCCAGGCTTCACTAGCGTGTCAAAACTACAAATCTGCTGGTTTCTACCACCATTTGGTAAAAGTGACGAGTTCATGTACTCTGCCAACAATCAACAATATCAAGATTAAAATGATATTATACAATATTGCAATTAATAATAAAACATTCAGAATATTTCATTGAATTTATCGTATTTTATATTATTATTATTTTTAAATTGTTTTATAGCCTTGCAGTGTGCGTTGATAACAAACATATAATATTACTACAGAGAGCCCTCGATAAATGATGTTACTATCGATTGGAGTATACAGGGTGGGGCAATAACTATGTCCACTTTGAATATTTCCGTTATTTGTAATAATATGAAAAAATGTTATGTACAAAACTTACACGGTACAGAGGGGGCATATTGTGACACAAACATTTTCTGCATGGGTGAAGGCATAGAGGAGATTTCAGGGTCATCACTATTTTTTTTAATGGAATGCTATGTTTTTCTTTATCGCGATGTGATAACCGGTGTTAAGACGACTTCAATGAGCTATAATTGAAGGTCATGCAAGGTCAAATGTGGTAGTAAAATAAATTTTCTTACATTACAGGAGATGCTCGAAGTGGTGACCGTTTGCGTCAATGCAAAGTTGCAATCTTCGTATCGCTGCAACACGTGCGTGACGTCGTTTCTGAACTTATTCTAGTACATGCTGTATTATTTCATAAACCCTCACTTTCACATAAACGAATGGTCTTGTAACATTGTTTATGTTGTGGCAATACATCGTGTATAGCTAGAAAAGTAAACATCTCATCAGTTCGTAACATTAACATGAATCGGTAGTCAGTCTCGGTCGATTGCTAAGTAAAGTAGCTGCGTGTTCATTAAAATGAAGTTTTCTTTTGAAGAGCAAGTGGATATGATCCTCATTTATGGAGAAATGCGACAAAATTCGATAAGAACTCAATCCTTGTATCCTGAACGATATCCAAACCGTATACATCCTTCGCACCGAACATTTCAAAGATTGTGCAAACAATTGAAAGAAACCGGAAATTTAGGTCCTCGTAAGAACAGTCGTCGTAAAAGAGCAACTGATGAAAGAAATGAAGTTGGTGTTCTTGCAGTTGTAGCTCATATCCCGCAAATTAGTTCCCGATAGTTTGAACGTGAGTCGGCTATCGGTAGAAGGAGCGTGCTACTAATACTTGCACGGCATAAATTTCATCCATACCATATTACCCTTCATCAAGAGTTACATGGTACGGATTTTATGAATCGTGTCGCATTTTATCACTGAGCTCTACACAAAATACAAATCGATGGAACATTCTTTTCTTCAATACTCTTCACCGATGAAGTTACATTTACATATTAAGCATGGAAATCTCTATTTGCATAATATGCATTATGAGAGTATCGATAATCCACACTGGTTACGACAACTTGAGCATCAACGACAATGTGATCAAATAATCGGACCGCATTGTATCGATGCAAATCTTACTGGCGAACGATATGCACACTTTATACGAAGTAGATTGGGGACTTTATTAGAAAATGTACCACTAAACGTTCGCCAAATGATGAGGTTACAACACGCTGGTTGTTCAACACATTATGCTCGGAGAGTAAGAGATGCACTGAACGAATTTTACCCAAATAAATGGATAGGACGTGGAGGATTAGTTTTTTGGCCACCTCGTTCTCCAGATTTAACCCCATTAGATTTCGTTCTCTGGGGAGCCTTGAAAAATGCTGTTTATCAAGAAGTACCCACTACACTAAAAATCAAATAAGACCATAACTTCGAAATGACGAATTTCGGTCTTGTTTGCGCATATTCCTCTCGGTTACCTTAGTTACCAACCTCTTTAAGAATTGAGCATCAGTATGCCTCGTGTAGCATCATACATCGAGTGATTGTGAAGTATAAACGTACCAATTCATAAGTATTCATGTCTTGAGAAATACTTCATTATGTCACCCGGTGTATGACAAATTCTATCGTCCTTGTCACAGAAAGCGAGAAAGTGGGGGAACCAAGGGTTCGAGTGACCTCTCATGCTCATTTCAGATGCGCGAAACAGTTATGCTCTTATTTGGCGTTTAGTGTACACCAGAAAATATGAAACAATGGATAATTTCAGCATGTGCTGGAATAAGTTCAGAAACGATAAGACATGCACGTGATGCAGCGATACGAAGATTGCAACTTTGCATTGCCGCAAACGGTCACCAATTCGAGCATCGCCTGTAATGTAAGAAAGTTTATTTTCCTTTACGAGGTTTTCTAACCTCATTTGGAACAACGGTATAGTCGGGTCCAGTTGCTAGACTTACTTTGTATATTAAATCTTACTCAATCGTACTTGTATGCTAAGACTTATTCTAATTGTTCATCTTGAGAACAGGTGATCAATTGAACGGGAAATAATGATTTCTATTTATTTACCTTCTAAGAATTCATCTAACAAGCCAGTCCATTTCTGCACAGACGCTGGATCCGACGAGCTGTACCAAATTAACGACTTTTCTTCTGTGTTGTTAGAAATTGGCCGAAAACCTAAACCTATTGAGCATATAAAGAAAATCATTACAAAGTTTAAAATATTTATCCTTTCTTTGGAAAAAAAATTCACTAAAACACATCAAATTAGATGTGTAAGTAATACATTTTTGTTAAAATCAATACAATTTATTAACCTAAACAATTACGTTGTTGGTAAACAAAAGGACAAGTTTGTCTCATTGTTATAAAAATAAATTTTTTCTTCCTGTATGAAACCATTAGTTTTAACATGAACAAAATTTCTTATATTAAAAATTTACGGTGTTTCTGTGATTATTTTTAAAAGGGAAATAGGAATATATTTTCATAGATACCGGGAAAAGCAGAGCTCACAGTGCGATCTGTTCGCCATAAACTTTCGTACATGATACTATTCCTGTACATCGCCCCTATAAATGTATTTTTACCCTGTTCCGTTTAGCAATTCTTTAGCGTGAATCTCGCAGTTGCTTCGAAAACGGTTGCGTTTGGTCACTGTCACGGTTCAAAGTTCGTTGGACTGTTGCCTTATTTCATACGTGTGATTGATAACACACCAGTCTAATGATAAACAACAGGAGACGAATCTACAATCGATTTAGGAAGCGTAAAACACTCGATGTTGATAAGGAATTGCTAAGCATAAAAATCGTAATTCTAAGTATAAAAGTATAAAAAGTAATATCTGAGTATAAAAAGTAATTCGTTGAATTCCAGTTGAAATAGCTACTAGATACAGTAATATTCCGATGAGTGCGACGTACTCGGGTCCACTTTTCAGCATTCATGGAAAGGCGAAAAAGTTTTCAGTTCCTCAAAAATTTGTTTTTTCCCCGAAACCGAGCTTCTGCTTAGTTTTTGTTTACTCTGTTTTGATTGGTTCCACAGGGGGACTTCCCCAATGGTGGGAATAACGCCGTTGCTCGTATCGCATTAATCGAGGGATCACTGTAGATATCTTTATAAAGGGTGTCTCAGCAAGAACTTGAATTTCGAATCGCGCGCCATTTTCGTCTGTCAAATGGTGAGTCAGTCATATTTGGCCGCTTTTTAGTTAATATATTGACATTCACAAAAATGACGCGTTACACTTTGGAAGAACGTTTGTTAATAGTGAAAACCCATTACAAACATTACAAACGTTGTTGCAAACCAAGTTTCCAGGTCGTGTCATCTCTCGTCTTGGAGACCAAAACTAGCCGCCAAGAAGTTGTGATTTAACCTGTTTGGATTATTTTCTCTGGGGTTTTGTTGAAAAGTAAGGTGTATGCAAACCACCCTGAGACAATTTCAAGACAAATCCACTGGCCCTTACTCTAGAACGTACTGCGAAATTTCGTCAAAAGAATATACATATACCTGCCACCAGACCAACGGTGGCCATTAAATCGACATTTTATTTCATGTTTAATGTCATTAATAACTCTGAAGGTATCAATAACAAAATGTAAAAAAACAATTAAATTAATGTTTTTTAATTTATTTAAAATTCAAGTTCTTGCTGACATATCCTTTAGATATCTACAGCTAGAGTATTTATAATAGAATAAATATTATTGCAAGAATGTTCTATTAATTTTAGTATCTTTTTATATAATCCCAAGTTGAAAATATTTTTTTATTATGAAACACGGTAAAATTGAAACGTTAATAAAGATTACCGAATATATTACGATACCCACGTTTGTGAATCAGTTCAACAAATATGAATTTTTCGAAAATGTACGCATTCCAGTAATCGCGGTGGAATGTCAATTATTCCGTATAGCTTTCTACTATGGTGAAACATGAGCATAAATGCGGAAATTGTATTTCTTTTGTGTATACTTACGATTATTTATTGAACAGATATAATATAATTAATGACTCTCTCTAAAGCATGATGCAATGGAAGGACCAGCATAATAAAGAGAAAATGAATGTTAATATTGGATATGTGGATATTAACGATAAATTATATAAACATTGCTGCTGTGTATAAAAATAGTGTCATGAAGATTGTTTAGACTAAATCGAATAACATTTTTATTTATTGTTTTTTATCTATAAGTCATTGGACACTTACAGCGATGTTGATGATCGAGTCAAATTATATATAATCAGTAATTTACTTCATTTTGTTAAATTTAATATTTATATTTTAGGAAATCATGTGATATTTGATCTCGTTCTGGAACAACGCGATCAGGAGGAAAAACTAATCTTCAAACTAAATTATCAGTTTATGAAAAAAAAAGTAGTAGATCACTTATCCGTATACCTAATATTTTTTATATTTTCATAATAATAATAATAACATTTATTTCGACGGGACAAAGTCCATTGATTTACAAAGAGATTACATTATATAGGTGACAGGTCTACAAAGATACATATGTAACGAGTTTATCGGAATATTTGGAGCGTTCTATTTCCCGGTAGATTCTAGTCTTGAATATTTTAGTGTCCGGATTAAAAAAATCAATTTGGTTGCTATTGGGCCACTATTGTTAAATCTGGATGTGTATGGTGAAGGTTTAAAAAGTGGGGGAGCTCTTACTGGTCGGGCAGGAGTATTGAAGTTTATTAGTGCTGTGATCATTGCATTGTTTGTTTGTCCGTTAATAATTTTATGCAGAAAACACATGTCCAATAGCACTCTTCTTGTTTCAAGCTAATTTATATTGAATTTTTGCATTGTCTCATTATAGTCGTGATCGAAAGGATGCATTGGTTTAGCTTATGTCTAGAAAATATTTAGAAGTATGAAATACGAGCTCTGAGTTTACCTGGATTTGTCCCTATCAAACTTTCCTCCAGAATCCATCTCGGTCGTTCGTTATTTAACGTAGCCAACAGTCCTTTCATGCAAATGGCAAACAGTAAGGCCAATACGGTGAAAAAGACAGCGTAGAATGCTCCAGTGATAGCTAAAAAGAGAACAGAATAAAAAATAAGTATCAGTGAGATCGTTTTTCGATGTTACAAATTTCAAGCATCTAGTAAATATCGAGTTTTTGAAACATGTTTGTTGAAAATATTATTAAATGACATGAATTTGTTCGTTTCTGTTTTTGTAGTGTTACTTAATAGATTACAGATTTCGATAACAAAATCCTGATTGTCTTTTAGCGACAAATTGAAATGAATAGATTATTGTAATTTATGTTATTTTACTAATTACATTTGTTTCTTTGAATAGTATCTTGGCAATGCTGTTCGTTGTAAACTTACTCATTAGGGTCGTTTCAATCTGATTTTTCCGCCAAATGATACCGCCTAATGATATATTATAATATAATAAAAGATATATTAT